AAAAATTTTTCAAGCTCCGAGTGATCGATATTCAAGGACAGGCTCTACGGGAGATGTTTAAGGAATCGGATCTTTGCGAATCTTGATGGAAAACAACTTGGTTGTTTGTAAAGTGCAGAACGGAACATTCAGTGGAGTTCTACGGGCACTTTCTCAAGAGTAAATGACATCAAGCTTAGTGGGACGGATCCTGGAAGGAATATGCCTGAGACTGGGCACCGATTTATTCTCGTTTTTACATTTCTGCCTAGTCTCCAACTTCTAGCACTCTCCCAAGCTTTAAATAAGTAAAGAAGTGAATGAATGAATGAATGAATGAATGAATGAATGAATGAATGAATGAATGTGCATTTCAAAACACATGTTGCAAAAATACTCAAAGAGCTTTAAATAAATACTTCAAGAGTGCAAATACTTATAGGAACAAAAAAAAAAACAAACCACCCAGAGATTATGGTGGAAACAGAACAAAAATGCATGTGAATATGACACCAATCTGGAAAGATACAAATTTATCCTGTATATTTAAGGGAATGTTTTGTTTTGTTTATGTGTTACATTTATATTCCAGATTTTCTCCACTGAGCTTAAAGTTGCATATATGGAGTTGGATTCCCCCAGTTTTGTTTTCCTGAAAACAACTTTGTGAGGAAGGTCTGGCTGAGAGTGAGCATGACTCATCTACTGCTACCCAGTGAACATTGTTTGGGGAAATGTGAACCTGGATCTCCCCATGTTTATTTAGTGCTCTAGATCAGTGTTTCCCAACCTTGGGTGCCCAAATGTTCTTCGACAAAGTCCCAGAAGCCTTCACCACTAGGTATGCTGGCCAGGATTTCTGAGAACTATAGTCTAATAACATCTGGAGACCCAAGGTTGGAAATCACCATTCTAGACTACTACTACACAGCATGCCTCCAATGATAACTGGCGAACTACCACATAGTCCAGTGGTCCTCAATCTTGGGCCTCCAGATGTTCTTGGACTTCAACTCCCAGAAATCTTGGCCAGAAGAGGACTTGGGAGCCCAAATGTTCTTCGACAAACTCCCAGAAGCCTTCACCACTAGGTATGCTGGCCAGGATTTCTGAGAACTATAGTCTAATAACATCTGGAGACCCAAGGTTGGGGACCACTGAGATAGTCGATAGATATTTTTCTTCAATCCTGTTTTAGCACCAGTGTGTGCATGTGCAAGACTTTGCATGAATTGCATTTTCTCAAAATATATCAGAAGCTGTGCAATTGGGCAAATTCTGAATTTTGTTTTGGAAGGTGTGAAATGGATATTAAAGCCAAGAATATTGATTCCACCAGGTTCTTTTCCATTTACTTCATTTTTGCTCTGAAGAATTTGAGAGTTTTAATGTAAGGGTTTCCTGCTTCAATTTCTTCCTGTGCTCCTCCTCGTTAATGTTCGCTGCGCCAATAACCATATCACTCTACTTAATTAAATTGTCTTCATTGCTTCCTTTTATGTACTTGAGTTCAGAGCAACCTCTTCTTGCAGTTAGTCAACTGTGTCTCAAGATTAAAAACCGATTAGCAACGAGCAAAACACTGTATCACTTTGTCTATTATCTTGGCACCAAAAGAATCTGTTGTGTTCCTAATGATTGCAGAGTCACAATACGAGTCCCTAATTGGATCTTTTATGAAAAGCAAGTGGATATTAGAAGAGAATGTTGAGTATCTCAGACTGACACTTTTCTGCTTCGGTAAAATGGGAATATCTGTCAATACTGCATTTACATGAAAATGGCTCACTTAATCGATGTTTTGCTCTATTTCTAAATTGTAATGTTTTACTCCAGTTGTATAATGAAAAAATGAAACGACTAATAAATACAATGATGGTTGTGCAGGAAACTAGGCATGAATTTGGAGGTTTATACCTGTTGGCCAGAGTTCACTTGCATTCCATGATTAAGAGCAATCATGCAAGTGGTTAGAGGCATCTTGCTGGCTGGTGGTTGAGCATCTGATTATCCCCCCGTTACGCAATCAAGGTGCAAGATCTATTAAAATCTCAGATCTTGAACTCTACCTCTGTTATGTCGTATAGATATAATGGCACAGTATAGCTTAGTGGTTAGGAATCCGGCTGCAGAACAAGAGGTTGGGAGTTCAATCCCCCCACTGTGCTTCCTGTGAGCCAGCCTGTGTAGCCTTGGGCAAGCTGCACAGTCCCAGGGCGCCCCCAGAGGAAGGGAGTGGTAAACCATTTCTGAGTACTCTCTACCTGGAAATCCCTGAAAACGGTCGCTGTGAGAATTGACTTGATGGCACATAATTATTATAGATCAGTACAAATGTCATAATGTCACTGTTCATAATAGTTGTCACTTTTTCTTACTTTCTCTGGACTGGAGATAGACAAATAATTCTGCTAGAAACTTTTTGATGGAGCAGCGTAACTCCCAAGTCACAACTGCTTGTTTCCCCCAGTGTGTGAGAATGCTGGGAAACACACACAACAAGCTTGGGCAAAGACTGTGTTGCAGCATCTTCAAAAGGTTGGAGGCAATATTCCATCTAATTTTCCACTAGCCCTGAGCAGAAATCCTTCCCTGCGTGCACATATTCTGGCTGGAACCCGAACCAAATGAGCGGCAACCCTAACTACAGATGCACGGCACCAATAC